AGTATGTTGATGATTCACAGCATACTTTTCATAGTTTTAGACTCTCATTGTCTGAAACACGTGAAGACATATTAACCCTTGCCACAATTATGGGTCTGATTGCACTGCTGTCGCCTTTCAGCTCACTCTGACTGCACCCCTTCAGATCAAGGGTGGGGAACCTCAGGCCCGGGGACTGGATGCAGCCCCCAAGGCTCAGGGCTCCCCTGCCCAGTATTGCTGGTTCTCCAGTCCTCCCCCTCCCCCCCCCCACTACCCTATCACAGGGCTGGAGCATACAAAATCTATTAGTCTGCCTCCCTCCCACCTAGCTCTGGTGAGCAAGGGGAATGTGTCTTTCTCCTTCTCAGTCAGGGGGCCATGTTAGTGAGGGTTTGTTTTGTATTATTATTATTATTTTATTTGTTTAGGATTATTATTATTTATTAATTTTGCTTCTCACCCGTGTGTGGCCCCGACTGATTTTTTTGGTAGGTAAGCAGCCCCTGCCCCAAAAAAGATTCCCCACCCCTGTGTTAGACCCTAGATCCTAATCTGTCTTGTACTGGAATTTTGCAGTTCTCCCACTTTTTAGATCAGGAACTACATACAATATCCCATTCATGCCAATTACTTTTTACCTTAAGTTGCAGGTCTGGCTGGATACCTGCATCTCTTCCCTTCAGGAGTGATAAGGGCCCTGAGAATATTAATCCCCTAACTTCCACTTTAGGTGACTATGTCCAACATTTAGGTAACATCGACATTCTCAAAAACCACCTAACTTAGTTGCCACCTAATTCTGTAGGTGCCTAAGTTTCTCTCAGTGGATACGCATAAAGCCATCTAAGTACTGATGCCACAACACAACTAATGCATTTCACAGAAGCTGCTGCTATCACATTCCCTAGTGAGTACCATAACCACTGGGCTACTGTGGTTTCATGTGAGAAAGGGCTGTCTTAGGTGTCTCGTCCAGGGGAGGGCTCCTGGATGAGCATTCCACATGGAGACAGACATCTCCCTCCTGACTAAGGCCCCGGTTTGATGGGAATTAAATGCCTTTGGTCTAAGCCCTAACCCTTCCTTGGCATTTCTTTCCTAATTTGCATAGGCAGCCCTCCTCCCAAGTTTTTTGGCTTTTGTCCCAGAAGTGCCTAGCACTAGGCTTTGTATGAGAAGCTTTGGTGCCTAACATAGAGCTGAGGATTCCACGGGACAATGCCTAAGGGTTAGAGAGCCACAAAGAGGACTTAGACTCAGTATAGCAATGTGTGATTTTCAGTGCTTTGTCATCTGGTGGACTTACAGCCTGGCGTTAGAGGCCCATGTTCTCTGCACACTGCATTGAGAGCATTAGGGGCCTAAGAATGGGATTCATGAACTTCAGCACACTAAGCCAGCCATAGAGGTGAGAATGAATGTGTCTGTAAAGGCTCTCACTACAAACTGCAAATTTCTAACTGGATTCACACTTCAGATTTCTAACTTCACCTACAAGAATAATACATGCACAGAAACAGAACATACACATTCAGCAGTTCGTAACTTTAAAAATGGGATATCACATGATGCATTTTTCCAAAAGTGTCTTTGAGTTATGCATATTCATAAACCAATTTTCATAAAGCATGGGAGGGCTGAGACAGAGGCTGGATCAAGCCTATGCTCCAATGAATGGTTTATTATTTTTTTAATAAGTGCACCATCTTTAACAGGAGAGACTGTCCGGAAGTCACTCCGTCCCAATGGATAGAGCACTCTAATGGGAAATTGGAGACCTAACTTCAAATTGCTATGTCATATGACAGATTATTTGAATCCCACTCTGCCACATCCTGGGCAAGTGCTTGAATCACTGGCCTATTGGGAAGGAATAAGTGTTTGAGGATGTCAGCATGTCAGTCTGGGCACGTAATTCCAAACTCAATGAGAAAAGCTGGCACACTAGTGTAGAGTGTAGTCATGGCTATGTGAATGGTTGGAGGAACCAGCAGTCCCAGGTATGCTAGGCAAAGAATTATGCACACTGGGGGTGTGTCTAGACTACATGCCTCCTTCGACGGAGGCATGTAGATAAGTGTTTGAGGATGTCAGCATGTCAGTCTGGGCACGTAATTCCAAACTCAATGAGAAAAGCTGGCACACTAGTGTAGAGTGTAGTCATGGCTATGTGAATGGTTGGAGGAACCAGCAGTCCCAGGTATGCTAGGCAAAGAATTATGCACACTGGGGGTGTGTCTAGACTACATGCCTCCTTCGACGGAGGCATGTAGATTAGCCAG